TAAGACACGCCCCACCAAACCATCACTGGATACAGTATGATGAGCACGTCGTACCTTTCCGACTACATAAGCAGGCGCAAAACCGAAAGATTTTTTTTAAAATAATAAATGTGTTCCAAATTCAAAATATTAGGTATTTTTATTATTTAAAAAGTTGAAAATAAATGTTTTTATGTAACTGTATTTATGGCAAAACTAGTTAGAGATATTTGTATGTTTATTCATCAATCGCGCTTAAATATGTTTAACATATTGCAAAGAAATATTATATATATGACTAGCTTTTACCCTTCCTGTGTGGTCCCGACATAGAATAGACTACCCTTCCTTTCCTGTAAGTGTTGTAAGAGGCGACTAAGAAAAGACGTGCGATGGGCAGCTACCTCCCTCTTAAAACATCTCAAAAGCAAATCCATTTGTTAAGCATGGCGATTACTGGCAAAACCCCTCTTAAGGAGAGGCTTATGCTTCAGAAGTATATATATATATATATATATATATATATATATATATATATATATATATATATATATATATATATATATACCTAAAAATTTTTTCAGCTTTGGAAACAGATAAAAATAGAACGGTGCTAAATCCGGTAAATATGGGAGATGAGGTAACAATTCGAAGCCACATTGATAGATTTCTGTCATGGATTGCACAGAGGTGTGAACGCGCGCATTGTCCTGATGAAACAAGACATTTCTTCTCAATAAATCTGGACATTTTTCTTTGATTTCTCCTCTCAAATGACGCAACAGGTTGCAATAGTAATCGGAGTTTATTGTTTTACCCTTTTTTAAATAATTCACGAGAATTATACCCTTTGCATCCCAAAAAACGGACTTGATGACTTTGCCCGCCGATAAAACCACCTTTGCCTTCTTTGGGGTGGGCGATTCTGCTCTTTTCCATTGTTTCGACTGTTCTTTTGTCTCGGGTGTAATGTAGTGAACCCAGGTTTCATCCATGGTTATAAATCTTAGGCCACTACGGGGCTCATCTTGAATGGTCTCATGACCACGTTAAAACTCTGCCACCCAGTTTTTAACTGTCGCATACGAAGGAACGGACTCACCCAAAGTAGCAGACATGTCTTCATATATAGCTTTTGGAGTTAAACCTTTCAAATTCAGGTATTTTATCACTGCACGGTGTTCAATTTTATCCATTTTCAAAAGTAGCTCTGTCTTGACTTACGGTATCCCGTGTAAACGAACAATGAGTTACTGTAAATAAACTAAACTGTGCATACTTGTTGCATATATATATATATATATATATATATAAAATTTAAATACTTCAAAGTCTTTAACCAGTGCTTGTTGCCAGTGAAGACTTATGGAACATGGTTCCCCGTATACAGAAGTTTCAAATAACTCAACGAGCTGTGGAGAGGGCTTTACTCGAAGTTTCTTTGCATGCCAAAATTCGAAACGAGAATATTCGCAAAAGAACCAAAGCCACCGACATAGTCCGAAGGATAAGCAAGCTGCACTTCAGCTTGCTTATTCTGTGAAGTAAGTGAAGTGAAGCAAGTGAAGATTGTTTAAAATCTGTATTCGAATCCCCAATAGTAGATGAAATAATATCTGTAGTCTAATTGAAAAGAATTTCATCCGAATTGGAGCCACATCGTCCTTCAGAGAGGATAGTCCTCGAATACTAACACAAACTGTTTGATACTCTAATTAACGAGGTAATTTGTCAGCATTGCATATTACCATCTTTACCTATTTAAACAGTCATATATTATTACTTCAGTTGCCTGTTAAAATTAATGTATGCTTAGAAAATAAATGTGTTTTAGTACAGCAGAAATTATTTTTAGTTACACTTCTACTTACTTGTAGAAATCTAACTGTTTGTTGATCATATATACAAAGGTATTATAATAAAAGAAAATACGACATCATAACCTTCAAGGAAAGAGCATATTCCTTTTTAAAAGGCCGCCACCACAACTGTAATGCCTTTGGTGTTGTGGGTGATCATGGACGGCGGTGGTCACTTAGTATCAGGTAAGCCGCATGCACATCTAATGATAAGTGACTTTTGCCCTTTGTGTTGTTGAAAAAAAGAAAAATAAATTGACATTGCGTCGCATAAAAAAAAAAACTTTAATTTTACAAAACTGGTTACTTTGATTTAAAAACTAAACTACTGGACAGATATAGATAAAATTGGTGGACCATTCTATGCCGGGACCACAAAGCGATATAATATATGTAGATATATAATAATTTACAGGAATAAATAAAGTTTAATTCGAGACTAAGCTCTTTTAATTTTGCATCTTCACACCTTTGAATCCATGTCAGACGTTTATTTACTATAATAAGGCTTTGATTGAGTCAAAACGTAGGCGGTGTAGTCTCTCTAACAATCCTAGAAAGACTACAATGGAGTAGCCAATTTCAGAATAGAAAACTATAAAGAAATGATTTCAATACACAAAAATGTCCCAGAAGGCCTCAGTCTCCGACATTCATTCAAAGGGTTTCAAAACAAAGGTTTATTGTTGCATAAGCCTCACTGTCAGCTCAGTTTGATGAAGCTTTGATACTGTGAGTTTATTTTTCTCATCTAAACGCTGAGCCGCTTTGTTCACAGAAACCCAGGCAATGAAACAGGAATAAAATATTGTAGTACTATGACCGAGCGAGTCCATTGGGATCAAAAATGGATCCAATGAAATAATATTTATTGTTCAGCACAAACTAAACAAACCACATAATTGTTACATAGAATTCTATTAATATTTTGAATGTAAGTTTGTAAATATGTTTGGATATTGTTATTTGCATTTGTTGTTCAATCATTTTTAAACGAGTCAATGGGTTTAATTTTTTTCTAAATAATGTATTACTTATTTTAAATACATTCATACATTAAATACATTATATACAATCGGGATTTAACGCGATAAAAAATTCCACCATGCCGTTTTAGCCAGACGAAGACGCCGCTCGCTTCAGTCCTGTCATGACCACGATGTGGTGCAATCCACGTTGAAACTTCGGCAATAAAGAAACATGTATGTAGGTTAGTACCTACGTACCTATTTGCCTGCATAAATTATTCATCGCGTTAAGCCTCGATATTCAAAATATATATAATATAAATATAGCTATTCCCTTTTGCATTTCCTTAGGAAGGCGCTCTTTGTTCTGTCTTTGGTAAATAGTGTTTGCCAATAATAAGCCCAATTTACGTATGACGTCACGTCGTTTCATTTTGGTCTTGTGGTTTTAACGATAAGTGATAACTTCATCTATTGCTGCCATCGTACTGGAATTTGCTGCTTAAGTAGTTAGAAAAGAGGGGGTTTTGAAAAAGAGTGAAGAGGGTACAAAGAGTTATAAGGTTTCTGCGTTGACAAATGGGAAGCCATTTGAGCTGACACCGATAGAGAGAAATATAATTGAAACTCTGAAGGTTGAAAATAATGCGTTGTAAAAGACTTAGTTGAGGAGACGGTCCAGCTTATCGAGAAGATCTTTATTGAGATCTAGATAACATATACCAGCATAATCAATAATAGGAAAAATTAGGGCGTGAACAAGACAAATTTTTGTAGCAGTAGGCAAAAAGTTCTTAAAGCCATAGAAGGAGCGTCAATTAGCAAAAACCGAGCGTCTCACCTCCGCAACTTGATGTGACCAGCTGAGTGCTGAGTCTATATAAAAGTCAAGATCTTTAATGCAAACCTTCAAATGTATAACTAAATTATTAAATGTATTAATTAAGATTGGCATCATTGTGTAAACATGAAGATTAGCCAATTGTCTAGAACTGCCAATTACAATAGCTTGACACTTAATAGGGTTCACTATATATAGTTAGACGACCATGCCAGAATGTTGTTTAGATCATTATTAATATTTGCTATGGTTTTATTGGCATCACTTACAGTATTTTGAATATATATCTGAAAATCGTCTGCATAAAAGTAGTAACGACAGTCAAAGGCAAGAGAAAGAAGATTAATGAAAGTCGAAAATAATAAAGAATAGAGGATCAATTCGACTCACTCTGACAATCAATTCGTGTCAGTCAGAGAGTTTATGATCAGTACAAATTGCCTGTTGTCGACCACAAAGATAGAATAAGAACCAGTTTAATGCAGAATATTAGATCCTATTACTTTGCAGAATGGCTTGGAGAATATTATGCCTATATACCTATCATATTAAAAGCATTGGATAAGTCTATAAGAACGAGAGTAGTGACCAAACCATCATCAATTCTAAATGTAATATTTTCAGTGACTTTTAGAAGAGCAGTATTGGTACTGTGTTTAGGGCGAAAGTCGGATTGAAAGGAAGTTTAAATTTTATATTTATGAATGAAGCTGGATACCTGTTTATTTGCTATACTCTCAAGGATTTTAAACAGAATAGGAAGAAGAAAAATGGGGCGAACATCATTTAGGGACTGAGGTACTGAGACATCTGGAAAAGAAAGAACAATCGCATTACGCTACAGAGAGAGGAAGTTACCAGACTGTTACAAGTGATCAAGTGAGTGATTGCTAGAGTAATGTGATCCATATATCTACTCATATATATCAATTTTATATAAGGAACAAAGTGAACAAATTTTTACTTACGGTTACTTGCTTTAATCTTATAACATTTGTTACTAAATATATGACAGCTCACGAAAATCGCCATTCCAATTTTATACCTCCAAATATTTACAGATATTGTCTAAATAAATTGTCAATAAAAGAAAGTAAAAGCCTATTTATTAATTACTTTATGCACAGACCTCTCGGCGTATGAGTCCAATGCACACTTGGCCGATTTTATTCATAAAGCACTCAGACTATGCAGTCTAATATTGCCTAATTAATGGGAAATAAAATATTATTGAAAGCAATTTATGAGAAACGAACTACTGCGCAATGTTTGTTTTTACTCTTTCATCACTGTAATGGGTAGCAAATTAAAGAGTTTCCATGCATAAACAATACTAATTCATGTACATAACAATCCATCCTTGCGATTCCTTCAATATTGTGGTGCATACCATGCGTGTTAAACCTGTATTTGGTACGGGATTAATAGTAATGGAAAACACAAATTCTAAAATAAAAGCGTTTGAGTCTTTCAATAACACTTTTAAATATTGTACTTATGGAATGGTTTTTTCCAACATCTATCCGAACAAAACAAATATGAAGAGAAGATTATATTTGTATATTTTTATTGTTTTTTGTACATCGCCTTGTTTAATTTCGTATGCATATTCCTGTCGCTTCTATATAATGCAACAGGATATGTTTAATTTAACACGACATTTGGCTGTGGGTATTGTCATCGGTTTATATTTATTTAAAGTTTTGTATTGTATATTGAATACTAATAAATTTGAGAGTATACTGAATACTGTATCATGTGATATGATTGATGTCAATGAGTTTGATGACGGTGCTAAAAAACTCTACGGGTTGTTTTTAAAGAAAGCAAAACTTGGAGAACTCATTTGGGCATTGTTACCAATAATTCTCGGCTTGCAGTTCCCAGTATATGCTGGAATCGTTATGATCCATGAGAATATTTGGAAGGATTATCCACAACGGGAAATGGTGCACGAGATGGAGATAACATTTGCAAAAGATGTAAAATACGATTCGCCAGTATTTGAGATTATATTTGTTATAAGCACAGCCAGTTGTATCATATTGATACCAAATTTCTGTGGACTGGATGGCTCTTTCTGTATTGCTACAACACACCTGGGTTTTAAACTAAAGTACGTGGGCTATTTAGTTCGAGAAGCATTTGAAGATTGTAATGATAGTTTCGAATTGCATGTTAAAATGAAACATGCTACAAAATGTCATCAAAAGGCATTACAATTTTACAAGGAATTACAAGACTTTTATGGACCATGGTTGTTAGGGATTTTTATTGTGACATCAAGTTTGATCGCCTTTAATTTGTATCAGATGTATATTATTCAACGACTCCATCCAAAATATGTTTTATTTGCGGTAGCAGCAATTTTGCACATGTATGTGCCTTGCGTGTATGCCAGCAATGTGACGGAGGTAATCACTTTTGTTTATTTTATGCATCAATAATTATATTAATTGATATAATGTCGAGACAATTATCATTTTTATAATATTCGGTGCAAACAAGCATACTGCCTGTCTAATGGTAAACGAGGTTACCATAACGTGTAGACCCTTGTCACACCAAGGATGTCACACGTGTTTCTACTAAGGTTCATAAAGAACGACAGTCCTTTAAGGAACCTTAATATACCCTTATTCTTTATTTATTTAAGAATAAACTATACACTTCACTAACAGTTTCCCAAAACCTATAATGAACCATAGCTTCATATTACACACTTAAAAAGCTTAAACAACGTTTAGAAAATATCGAGCGTTTCTATACCTGCTATACCAGATACAAACAGTGATGAGTACAAATAAGGATAGCAGCTGTGATGTTTAATATACTCGTATATAGAAAATGTGCTTCCTTCTGAACTCTTTCTAACATTATCTTGTACTTTATTTCATGAGGGTCCCAAATAATTGCCAATATATCTATGATGCCTAATATATAAAATACTGTTCTATATAATACTGACCATTTTTTTTCACACTTTATTGCACGAGTGAAAGAAAGAAATAAATATTTTTATTAAAATAAATTTAAATTTAAGCATTTTTTGAGTAGTATATTTTTTTTTAATTACCGCTCATTCGGAACGCAATTTTAGCGAAAAGCAATAAACAAGAAATTGAGCAATTTTTTTTTTAATTTAAATTATTTTACTTTTTGAAAAAAAAATATTAAAATAAACTAGCTGACTCGGCAAACGTTGTTTTACCATATAAGTATATTATTTCTAGAAATTTACATGAAAATTTATCGTACTACGATTATTATATTCGATTGTCATTTTGCAACCCTATTGAGGCATATAAAAATCGCGATAGTATAAATTACGCTCTTTGGGACCAAGGGCAAACAGAATAAGACTTCTGCGGCATCCCCTTTGCTCAATGTGAGCCTCTGTAATATTAGGGGAATTCATTCCAACCTGAATGCTGTCCACCACCACCTAGAAACAGCGCGGCTGGCATTGCTCTTCCTAACGGAGAAACAAATATTCCCTCCAAACGGAACATCATACCTGACCTACCCGGGCTATAAGTTTGAACAGTTTTGTTTCACGTGCCGGTGTATGTGAGTATGTTAGAAAGAATATCTGCTGTCAACGCCTTGGGACTCTTGAAGATACGGACCTGTCCATTCTTTGGCTGCGCGTAGATTGCAATGACCATCCCCGCATCTATGCGTGCCTATACAGGTCCCACAGCGGTAACACTGAAACCGACCAACTCATTGAGCACGTCCAAATGGCTACAGATTCCCTGCTTGAACAGGTTCTTTCCGCTGAAGTCGTCATTCTCGGCGACTTTAATGCCCACCATGCCGAAAGGCTTGGTTCGCGTACCTATAAATATTTTTTTTCTAATGTTTAAATTTATTTCAGTTTGGCGAAGATTTGGCTACAGAACTTTACTGCGCTGCCTGGGAAAGAAAGTTCGATATCAGTGCAACCAAGTCCGTGATAATCATGCTCGCCAATGCTCAACGTCCCCTCATCCTTACTGGATGTGGCATAGTGACCTATAACATGCAATTATTCATTACAGTAATGAAGAGCACTTACTCATTTTACACGTTAATTACAAGTACTTAATTAGTGACAACGAAATGAGATATTAGAGAAGTTATAGAAGTACGGCGAACTAAAACATGCAATTACGCATTTTAAAATGACAACTTATTCATTTTACACATTAATCACAAGTAGTTAATTAGAGTCAACACATAAGATGTTGAAGAATTCATTTGTGTTATCACAAGTAGTTAACATTATTTTAATAAATTAATATGAAAATAAATAGTTTCATTGCTCCCATGACTTTTGGTAAATTTTAGGATATTATCTAGTATGACGTGTTTGTAGACAAATGAAACAATTAAATGTCTCCTGCTGCGAATAATTTGATTAATTCTTGAAATACTTCCACAGAAATTACAATGTCATCCACATTCGTACAAATTTCTAATAACGTTGTCTGTATGATATTCAACGTTAGAGTATAAATCTTAGATTTGATCACAGATAGTAACTTCTCTTAGTTTTCTCAGGAAACGAAATCAGTAAGCATATGTACAAGTACTTCTCATTTCATTTCTCTCTGTCAATACCAAAATCTCGTTGGCTCAATTTATCCTACTTCCTATTCTAGACTATGCTGACATTAATTTTTCAGATGTAACTGGGGAACTTGTAAATAAATTTGACCGTATCCTGCAAACTTTAGCTACCAGATTTGTCTTCGGTATTAATAATGATCATGTCTCCGCTCTTTTCTATCAGTTAAAATTATTCATATAAAATGTTGACAATGAACTAAGCCTATGAAGCTCATACCTATTATATTACCTTTAAGTGCTTGAACCTGAGAAAATAGCAATAACCTTGTAATTCAATATATTATTGACACGGAACGCGAGTAATGTCGTAGCGGAATTTAGCCATTTTAGACTAAACAGATCAAATATTGGTTTTAGATATATATTCAGAATCGCAGCTGATCTTGATTTTCTTAAGAAAATAAACAAATCTATAGATGTAATAGATCGGGGTGATGATAGGGTTGTACTGCCAACAGGAGTCAATTGATACACGGTCTTAAGTAGATTGGTATATTTTGAAATGACAGTTACAGTAGGTAGAAAAGAATTCGAGCGTCCCTATAATAGTCGTGAGTCGTCTCACATGGTGGAAGCGACACCGAAGGCCTTTTGGATATAGTATACGAACATTTTATGGTTCTATCTTTTATAGTTTAGGCAGCGTACACAAAATAAGTAACTTTTCTGGTTGATTTTTTACACCTTGTGTCCGACAAAGCCAAATATTTTACAGAACCCTATTTTTTTCCAAAATAAAATTTAGTCTATGTTACTCATGGATAATGTAGCTTTCGAATGGTGAAAGAATTTTTAAAAACGGTCCAGTAGTTTTTGAGCCTATTCATTACAACCAAACAAACAAACAAACAAAGTTTTTCTCTTTATAATATTAATGTAAATATCACATTAGAAACCTCTAAATTTATCACTGTTTATCTACAATATTATATATGTATTATACATATAAACCTTTCTCTTGAATCACTCTATCTATTAAAAAAAAAAAAAAACCGTTTCAAAATCCGTTTTAAAGATTTAAGCATACATAGGTACGGACAGACAGCAACAGCGACTTTGTTTTATACTATGTAGTGATAAACTACTGCGCAATGTAAAAACAATACTCTTTTATCACTCTAATAGGTAGCAAATTAAAGAGTTTCCATGCATAAGCGATATAAATTTATGTAACCATCCATCCTTGCGATTTCTTTAATACTGTGTTGCATACGAAGTGTGCTAAACCTGTGTTTGGTACGAGATTAATAATAATGGAAAACGCAAATTCTGAAATAAAACCGTTTGAGTCTTTCGATAATACTTTTAAATATTGTACTTATGGAATGATTTTCTCCAATATCTATCCGAACAAAACAAATATGAAGAAAAGACTTTTTTCATATTTTTCTTTTTTATTTTTTGTATCGCCTTGTTTGGTTTCGTTTGCATACTCCTGTCGCATCTACATAACGGAAGAAGATATATTTAATTTAACACGTCACGTGGCTGTGGGTATTATTATAGGTTTATATATATTTAAAAGTTTATATTGCATATTGAAAACACATACATTTGGGAATATACTTAACGCTATATCATATGATATGATTGAAGCCAATGAGTTGGACGACGGTGCTAAAAAATTATATAGGTTGTTTTTAAAGAAGGCAAAATTTGGAGAACTTGTTTGGACATTGTTACCAATGACTCTTGGCTTTCTGTTCCCATTATATGCTGGAATCGTTATGATCCATGAGAATATTTCGAAGGATTATCCACATCGAGAAATGGTACATGAGATGGAGATACCATTTGTAAAAAATTCTAAATACGATTCGCCAGTATTTGAGATTATATTTGTTATAAGCACAGCCAGTTGTATTTTATTGATGCCAAATTTCTGTGGAATGGATGGCTCTTTCTGCATTGCTACAACGCATCTGGGTTTTAAACTAAAGTATGTTGCCTATTTAGTTCGAGAAGCATTTGAAGAGTCTAACGATAGTTTCGAATTGCATGCTAAAATGAAACATGCTACAAAATGTCATCAAAAGGCGTTGCAATTTTACAAGGAATTACAAAACTTTTATGGGCCATGGTTGTTAGGGATTTTTATTGTGACGTCAAGTTGTATCGCCTTCAATTTGTATCAGATGTATATTATTCAACGACTCCATCCAAAATATGTTTTATTTGCGGTAGCGGCGGTTTTGCACATGTATGTGCCTTGCGTGTATGCCAGCAATGTGACGGAGGTAATCACTTTTGTTTATTTTATGCATCAATAATTATATTAATTGTTATAATATCAAGATAATTATCATTTTTATACTGTTCGGTGGCAAACAAGCGTACAACCCGTCTGATGATATACGAAGTTACCATGGCGTATGGACCCCTGTAACACCAGGGATGTCACGCGCGCTTCTGGTTCAATAAAATTCCTTAAAGGACTGTCGTCCTTTAAGGAACCTTAATACGTAGTTATTCTTTATTTATTTAAGAATAAACTATTTATTTATTAGTCATTATAGGTTTTGGAAAACTCTAAGTGATCATATTACAACTTAAAAAGTTTAAACAACATTTAGAAATTCTCGAGTATTTCTATACCTGCCATACCAGACACAAACAGTGAAGGGTACAAATAAGGATAGTAGCCGTAATGTTTAATATACTCGTATATAGAAATAATAAATAATAATAATAATAAACTCTTTATTGCGCACAGTAGAGATGTATACAAGGAGTATTTATACAGAATGTGCATATACAAAAGGCGGCCTTATCGCTCAAAGCAATCTCTTACAGACAACCTGGCGTAAATAATGGATAAGTACAGAGAGAAAGGTAGATGGCGCAAGTCAGATACAGTAAATACATAAAAGGAATCAAACAAAATGCAAAATATTCTAAATATAAAAATAAGATTACAATACATAAACATACATATATAATATAAATATATATATAATATAAATACATAAACATAAATATACTAAATAGATCAAGATAAATTACACATAGTAAATGTCAAAGCAAATTAGAGAGATAGGTAATGAGTTTGCAAATTTGCAAAGAAAATTTGCAAATTTCCTCTGAACTCTTTCTAACATTATCTTGTACTTTCTTTCATAAGAGTCCCAAATAATTACCAATATATCTATGATGCCTAATATACTATTCTATATAATACTGATCATTTATTTTTTCATATTTTATTACACCTAATACATAAAAATAAACCATTCAAGTTAAAGAAAGAAATAAATATTTTTATTCAAATATTAATAATTTAAATATAAGCATTTCTTAGTAGTATTTTTTTGTAAAAAAAAAAAAAATATATATATATATATATATATATATATATATATATATATATATATATATATATAATATATATAAATAATGAATTTGTTGAATACAAACTACTGACTACTGAGCAGTATCAGATCATATATGAAAATCTGGAAAAATAATGTAAAATCCGCAAAAAGAATGATGGCTACTTTATTTTCAGATTATCAGGTTAATATTGCTTGGCAAAAAAACATGCAATTAACGGCATATGTCTTGAACAGCTAAGCAATGTGGTGTGGGAATACTTTATGATAATGAGCACGCCTTTACCGAACCAGTTGCAAAGACCATTTCAAGATATGACTCCAATATAATTTGCCATCTACCTTAAAATCCTAACTTGTTTTCCAATGTTTATTATTTATTTTCAAAACTTAAAGCCGAGTTAAAGGATAGAAGATTTTTTACTGATAAAAAAATACAGCAACCACTGTTTTCGCTTTCTCTTATATATTGTACATTTTATACATACCAAACACCCAGACCTATACAAACAGACGTACAGACACATAAATACAAATGTTAATTTTGGACCAGATTCCAAGCCTGACTTTCGAACAAGAAAGTGATGTGTTAAACTGCCAGACCATCGTTAATATAATATTAAATATTCTGGACAAGTAACAGAGCACTATGTAATCCTGAACTAAGTTAAGTTTGGACTGGACTGGACGAAGGCAATATATTGCCTGACGTCCAAACATAATTTAGTTATTATACATAATAACGTAAAAAATTCTAATGTTTAAATTTATTTCAGTTCGGCGAACATTTGGCTGCAGAACTTTACTATGCTCCGTGGGAAAGAAAGTTCGATATCAGTGCAATCAAGTCCCTGATAATCATGCTCGCCAATGCTCAACGTCCTCTCGTCTTTACTGGATGTGGGATAGTGACCTATAATATGCAATTATTCATTACAGTATTGAAGACAGCTTACTCATCTTACACTTTAATTACAAGTACTTAATTAATAACTACACATAAGATATTGAAGAAGTACGGGGAACTAAAACATACAATTATACATTTTACAATAACAACTTATTCATTTTACACACTACTCACAAATACTTAATTCTTTCTTTATTCTTTATTGTACACAAAACATACTGTTAATCACAATTCATTATAAACATAATGTACAAAGGCGAGCTTATCTCTAATAAGAGATTTTAATTAATTTAATTAATTAATTAGTGTCAAAATATAAGAGAACCTATTTGTGTTAAATGTATGTGAAATAAATATGCCCTAAACATTCATACACTGTTATCACTAGTAGTTAACATTCTTTCAATAAATTAATATAAAAAATAAGTAGTTTCAATGCACCCATGTCTTCTGATAAAATTTTAGGATCTTATCAAATGTGACGTGTTTGTAGACAAATGAAACAATTCAATGTCTCCTGCTGCGAAAAATTCGATTAATTCTTGAAACACTTCTACGCAAATTACAATGTAATCCACATTCGTATAAATTACTAATAACGATGTCTCTATGATATACACTGTTAGAGCAAAAATCTTAGATTTAATTATAGATAGTAACTTCTCTTAGTTCTCTCGTGGAAACGAAATCAGTAAACATAAGTACAAGTACTTCTTATTTTATTCGCTCAAACGACTCCAGTATTTTCTCCCTATCAATACCAAAATCTTGTCATTCGTTCCATTTTTTGTAGTATGCTTAAAAATCCCAACATTCCGCCTTATCTTCTCAAAAATATACATAACCTATAGTGTTGTTAAACATGTGAATCAGTCAATTGTAATCTGATTTAAAAATTATTTTTTAGCTGAATGGACCGATGGATATAATTACAGATTGGTCCCACAGAATTTTATCAACTCAGTACTTTAGTTTTTAATTCAAAATAATGGATTTGTCACAATTGAAGTTGGTTCTTTTGCGGAACAGAATCTTAAATTATATTTGGACCGGTAATTTTTACAGTAAACTATCAAAACAACAAATATAATCATATCAACATTGCTGAAGCCTTCCCCATAAAGGGAAATGTCGTGTTTTGGTAAAATTAGCACAAACACAACCTTAATTAAATTAATGATATATCGAAACGTTCAATCGATTAAGTACATATATCAGAAACATTTGTTTCATACAAATAAAATCGTCATCTTTTAATCATCATCATCATCAGCCTTTAACTGTTCACTTCTGAACATTGATCTTCCCTATCAGGGGAGATTTGCCAGTAGTTGGCAAGTTTGGCATGTTTTAAGAGGGACACTGCTACCTTACTGCTACCTGTTCTTATGACACCCACGGGAAAGAAAGGAATGGCCTAATCTATGCCGGGACCACACAGCAAATTGTCTTTTAAAGCTTGTGACATTTAAAAATCTTTCTAAGTTTAAAAAACACAAATTATGGGCCTAGATATTGTTGCGACATTTAAATGTCAACAAGCCAGTAAAAATACATTGGCACGGTTTCAAAGTAGAATTGAATCTAAAATATTTATTTCCAGAATATTACAAGATGACCCGAATGACGTATGAAAAACTATAAACATAGAACCGAATCGTAAATGCTAGTACTGTAAAACAAAAACTTAGATTATTAATATGAAAACAACGTTTCGCGCATTGGCCACGTATGGTATTAATAGATATAGGCCCAAACTTTATGAACTATATGAGTATTAACAAAGAAACCATATAAAAAGTACATTGCTTCACTCAATATGTAAATTGTTATTTTAAAATATTTAAACGGGTTTACAAAACAGCTAAGTCTCTTAAGTAAAAAAATATTAACTCCGAGGATAAAATTAAAGCCACTTGTAAAGTAATTAATGACAAGACCGGAAAAGTAAAGGCTCACGATAATAAAGTTGTTTTTAATATTAATGATAAATTTATTAATACTGACATTGAATTTGCAGAGACTTTGGAATCTGTTTTTTCTAATATACCTTTTGCAACAACTCTATCTTCAAACTCTTCCGCATCTGCAGCTAAAGCTTTACTAACAAAAAGTGTTAACAAACCATCAGCTGTATTTAGTTTTAATCAAATAACTCCTGTAGATATAATAAAGATATTTAGATCACTTGATAATAAAATAATTAAATTCTATAAGATATACAATATCTATGTAAAATATTTGGTAGTATAATTGGAATTATTGCATCGACTTTTGCTTTTATTTTTAATAAGTACATACATGATGGTATATTTCCTAATCTAACGAAGTTCAGTTAAGTTATATTGCTTTTTAAAAATGATATTAAATGTGATCCAGTAAATTATAAACCCATTTTTATTTTTCTCGCAATGAGTAAAATCTTTGGAAAAATGATGTTGAATTACAACTAGTTAATTAATTTAATTTAAACGAATCTGTACTAATATTATAAAGAGATAAATTTGTCAGTTTGGATATTCAGGATAATCTCCAGTATTATTGATCCTATTTTGAAAATTCTTTAACTGTTAGAAAGATATATTATCTCTGAGAGCTTTATGCTACTTTCTCTTTTGGTAAATATATATTTGTAATAATCTTTTAGCTTAACAAAAAAGTCCGTGAAATCATATATCTAAGTTTATTATATCAGCTAAAAAATATTATTTTTATATTACAAGTAAAATATATTTTACAATATTAAATTTGGATACAGGTTTGATTTATACTTTACAAATTCATATAAAAATAAACAGCTAAATCAAAAGGAAAATTTGATGAAAATAAAGATTATTTGTAATTTTTACATTCGAATTTGAATTGCCAAAAGCAAAATATTTCGAATGGCAATGTCAGTAATAGTACTTTAAAAAAAAGATCGAAATATTTTAACTAGTAATACATGTTAATAAAATTAATTAAATTTATTTATTTACAATTTGTGTATGTTTATTTTATTCACATTATTTTATCTCTACCTTTCCAGCACTAGATTACCCGCTTATTAATTATTTTCTGCATTGGGTTGGCTGAAAGAAATCTCTTTTAGTAAAACCCACCCTTGCTAACAAGTTGTTCAACTAATCGCTGTATCTTTTGTTGACTAAGATCATGCGTAACGTCCATGTCACACCTGGACCGGTTACGATTGAGAGCACTACGCTCGAAGTTGTCGATGAGTATGTATGCCTAGGACAAGATGTCTGAATGGGTAATTCCAACATCAACCGAGAGGTCAAATGACAAATCCAACTCGACTGGGCAGCGTGTGGAAAACTAAGCCACATCTTTTCATCCAAAATACCTCAGAATTTGAAGATCAAGGTCTTTAAGCAGTACGTGCTGCTAGTGATGACTTATGGAACCAAAACATAGTCCCATGGTTCAAATTACTCAGCGGGCTATGGAGAGGGTTATGCTCGGAGTCTCTTTGCGTGATAGAATCCGAAACGAGGATATCCGCAAAAGAACCAAAATAACCGACATAGCCCGAAGGATTAGTAAGTTAAAGTGATAATGGGCTGGTCACATAATTCGAAGAACCGACAACCTATGGAGTAGAAAGGTTCTTGAACGGCGACCGCGTTTGTCCAACCGCAGTGTAGGACGACCCCTGACTAGATAGATGGATGCAGGTGGCTCAGGACCGTTTTTTATGACAGTCTATGTGAGAAGTGTATGTTCAGCAGTGGACGGATAATAACTGAAATGAAATGTTCATGAAAATCACTATTTCAACTATATACCTCCACATTTTGACAAATAAAGATATTGTTCAATTACATTGTCATAAAAAAAAGCAAAACCTTATTTATTTATTATTCTATGCATGGACCTCTCGGCGTATGAGTCCAACGCACACTTGGCCGATTTTATTTATAAAGCACTCAGACTATGCAGTCTAATATTGCCTAATTAATGGGTAACAAAACGTTACTGGTAGCAATTTATGAGAAATGAATTATTGTGCAATGTTTGTTTTTACTCTTTCATTACTCTAATAAGTAGCAAACTAAAGAGATTTCATACATAAACAATATTAATTTATGTACCAAACAATCCATCCTTGCGATTCCATCAATATTGTGGTACATACCAAGCGTGTTAAACCTGTATTGGGTACAAGATTAATAATAATGGAAAACACAAATTCGGAAATAAAACCGTTTGAGTCTTTCGATAATACTTTTAAATATTGTACTTATGGAATGGTTTTTTCCAATATCTATCCGAACAAATCAAATATGAAGAAAAGATTATATTTTTATTGTTTTACTTTACTTTTTGCATCGCCTTGTTTGATTTCGTATGCATATTCCTGTCGCTTCTACATAATGGCACATGATATATTTAATTTAACACGCCATTTGGCTGTGGGTATTATAATACTTTTATATTTATTTAAAGTTTTGTATTGTATATTGAATACTAATAAATTCGAGAATATACTTAACACTGTATCATGTGATATAATTGATGTCAATGAGTTGGACGACGGTGCTAAAAAACTATGTGCATTTTTTTTAAAAAAGGCAAAAGTTGGACAACTTGTTTGGTCATTGTTACCAATAGTCATCGGCTTCCAATTCCCAGTATATGCTGGAATCGTTATGATCCATGAGAATATTTGGAAGGATTATCCACATAGAGAAATGGTACATGAGATGGAGTTACCATTTGTAAAACGTTCAAAATTTGACTCGCCAGTTTTTGAACTCTTTTTTTTCGTAAGTGGAATCGGTTGCCTGATACTATTACCAAATTTCTGTGGACTGGATGGCTCTTTCTGTATTTCTACAACGCATTTAGGTTTTAAAATAAAATATGTCGGTTATTTAGTTTTAAAAGCGTTTGAAGATTCTAATGACAGTTTGGAATTACATGCTAAAATGAAACATGCTATAAAATGTCATCAAAAGGCTTTACAATTTTACAAGGAATTACAAGACTTTTATGGACCATGGTTGTTAGTAATTTTTATTGTGACATCAAGTTTGATCGCCTTTAATTTGTATCAGATGTATATTATTCAACAACTCCATCCAAAATATGTTTTATTTGCGGTAGCGGCAGTTTTGCACATGTATGTACCTTGCGTGTATGCCAGCAATGTGACGGAGGTAATCACTTTTGTTTATTTTATGCATCAATAATTATATCAATTGCTATAATCTCGAGATAATCATCATTTTTATAGTAATCGGTGCAAAAAATCATACAACCCTATAAAAATAACTTGCTTTTAAATGATCTGGAACGTGCACTGAAATTAAGAGACAATGTATTGACAAATATTCAGCATCTTTTTTCTTTATCAGACCAGCGACTTTTGGGCCGTTCTACGTATATATTATACATATCAATTAAATAGACCAATACAAACAGATATATAGATTTTTTTGCACGAGATTCCAACTCGCGACCTTCCACTAATTTAGTAGTGTGTTAAGCTACCAGACCATCGCCAATATAATAGTATTACCCTGGACAATTCACATAGCGATATCTAATCCTGAACTAAGTTATGCTTGTACTGCAGGCAATATATAATAGCATAATAGATATATGTAAGTACCTATAAATATTTTTCTTTTTTTTCTAATGTTATAAATTTGTTTCAGTTCGGCGAAGATTTGGTTGTAGAACTTTACAATGTTCCATGGGAAAGAAAGTTCGAAATTAGTGCAATCAAGTCCGTGATAATCATGCTCGCCAATGCGCAACGTCCTCTCGTCTTTACTGGATGTGGGATAGTGACTTATAATATGGAATTATTCATTACAGTAATGAAGACAGCTTATTCATCTTACACTTTAATTACAAGTACTTAATGACTACACATATGATATTAGAGAAGTACTATGAACTAAAATATGCAATTATATATTTTGGAATGATAACTTATTCATTTTACACGTTAATCACAAGTATTTAATCAGTGTCAACCCACAAGATGTTAAATAATTCATTTGTGTTAAATTTAAAATAAATATGGCCTAATCACTAATACACTGTTATCACTAGTATATTCTATTCTTTCAATAAATTAATATGAAAATGAATAGTTTCATTGCGCCCATGTCTTTTGGTAAACTTCTTGGTAACTTTGGTAATCTTATCACTTGTCTATGCCGTTACTAGACAAATGAAACAGTTAAATATGTCCTGCTGCGAATAATTCAATTAATTCTTAAAACATTTCTACAGAAATTACAATATCATCCACATATTTTCAAATTTCTAATTAAAATCCTAATTACAAAAGCTTAATATTATAGGCAGCAGCTGACTTATAAGCAAGCTCGACATCGTTTCATCCCAATCATCTGGACGAATGGCGGTCTTCCACCGTGCGTTTTTCAAGGCACTTTCTTCCACGCACAACCATTCTTTGGAATCAACTTCCAGCAGCAGTATTTCCGAACCGATACGACAACATAACCTTCAAGAAAAGAGTATATTTCGTTTTTAAAAGGCCAGCACCACCTGCAATACCGCTGGTGTTGTGGGTGATCATGGGCGGCGGTAGTCACTTACCATCAGGTGAGCCGCATGCTCGTTTGCCCCCTGCGTTGTAAAACAAAAAAAGCTCGACATGTCCCAAGTGCCACCGCTTGTGTACTACGAGGTCTCTACGGTATACATCATTAGAGAAAAATCTTAGATTTAATCATATATAGCAACTTCGCTTAGTATTATTATATTTCTCTTTTTAAAATAATATTTAGGGATCGCTACCAGCAAATGAAAAATAATAAAAAAAAAATTTCAATTACTTTTATTTCGGTTCTGTGATGACAATCATACATAAAATAAAACAATTATTATAAAAAAAGATGTTTTACGCTAACAACGTGCTTTTATTTACATTTGGATACTTTTCCCTAAAAATTTTAACTAACAAAAGAAGAAACAAAAGATGGTTTTTATTAAACGGTTTTTTAAACGGTTTTATTTAGCTCGACCCGTACGGTATTTATTTATTTGGGTCAAAATTAGAAATTGGAATTTAAGCACCTTCCCGTTGTCAGATTGATCTGAAATTTGGTACACACATTTAATTTAGATGAAAATACAATATAATAAAATCAATAACATTATAAATCTAAGATGGCCGCCGATACAAAATGGCGGATTACATATTTTTCCTTAACCCCCGCAATATGGGTATCAAATGAAAGGACTACACTAGTAAAACACGATGATTATGTCAAAATTTAAAATCCAAGATGGACGCCGTTCCAATATGGCGGACTAGGTACATATTTTTCCACAACCACCACAATATGTGTATCAAATAATAGGACTACACTGCAGAATACTGTCATTATGTCAAAATTTCAAATTCAAGATGGATGCTGTTACAAAATGGCGTATTTTTAAACGGTTTTTTATTATTATTAAACTGTTTTTTAAACGGTTTTATTTAGCTCGACCTGTACGGTATTTATTTATTTGGGTCAAAATTAGAAATTGGAATTTAAGCACCTTCCCGCTGTCAGATTGATCTGAAATTTGGTACACACATTTAATTTAGATGACAATACAATATAATAAAATCATTAACATTATAAATCTAAGATGGCCGCCGATACAAAATGGCGGATTACATATTTTTCCTTAACCCCCGCAATATGGGTATCAAATGAAAGGGCTACACTAGTAAAACACGATGATTATGTCAAAATTTAAAATTCAAGATGGACGCCGTTCCAATATGGCGGACTAGGTACATATTTTTCCACAACCACCACAATATGGGTATCAAATAATAGGACTACACTGCAGAATACTGTTATTATGTCAAAATTTCAAATTCAAGATGGACTAAGATTGTGTGTTACAAAATGACGTATTAGGTGGGGGCATGATTAGTCGTATCGAGAACAGTTGCGTCTAAGATTGTGTGACGTTAGAGGGGCAGATACAAAAAAAAAATAGGTAATTAGATACAGATATATCATCGTTAGTAAGCGGTAGTTATACCACCCAAGCAAAATTCAATTAGGTAATAGGTTAAAACGTGTAGAGTACTTTATGGCATTAGGGTGGATAAAAATGTAATGTCGTAAGCATGTAATAATGATGCACTGAATGAAATAAATAGAATGAGGAATATTTAAACAATTTCCCTCAAGATTGGGGGCATCTTGTTGTATATTAAGCCTTGCCCCTTTACTGGACTGCTGGGGGAGGGTCGACCGTCAAAATGCCCCTTAATCGTGGGAACAACATGGTAACAATTAACAAAAAATACCAACAAATATAAATAAGACTGGAGGCTTACCATCAGTACTTGAAATATTTGTAGGTGCTGGTTATTGATGGTCAAAAACGATTATATAATAAGTCTGGACTCCGGAGCTATGAGGTTTCGGATGCGACCGGGATAAACCGCTAGGATGATGATGATGACGATTATAATAATCGACGCAATCCACACTTAGTATAGTAGAAAATAATACAGAAATAGTTAATGGGTGCGGTTTTAAAAGTAATGTTGCGGTCCAACATTGACGTTACAAAAGAATTGGCAAATGACGATATAGGCCACATTACAGAAATGTTTTGGCCTCAGTTCCGTCGAACCCAAATGTACGAAACAGATATATCATCAGTTTTAATTGACTTTGGCACAGACGGCATGCACGTTATTTATCCTAAAGCCATACAGTTTCCAGCAAAATTCAATTGTGGTACGGCTGAAAAAAGGATGTTGCCCTTAGTTTTGTCATGGGCATTCACCGTCCATAAAATGCAGGGCAGCACCGTCGACCATGCAGTAGTATATTTGGGCTCAAAATGGTTTGAGGAAGGACAAGCATACGTGGCTCTAAGTCGAGTCAAGTCTCTGGAAGGGCTATGTATTGAGGAATTGGATTGTACTAAATTATCAGGTAAGAAACTATGTAATAATGATGCACTGAATGAATTAAATAGAATGAGCACAACACACACGCACATACACGCACACGCACACGCACACAACGCACGCACGCACGCACACACGCACGCACGCACGCACGCACGCACGCACGCACGCACACACACACACACGCACGCACGCACGCACGCACACACACACACACACACGCACACACACGCACACAGACACACACACACAACTACACACACAAACTATTACAAATTATTATATATATTTATATTAAAAACAAGAAAATAAAAATCGTTGTTAATCAAAAAACTGTTTTAAAGATTATTATTATTATATTATTATTATTAATGAACTGAATGAATTAAATTTATTTTATGAAAATAAAAATCTGTAAAAAAACTTTTAAGTTAAACAAAATAAATAAATAGTTACTTACCTATCAACCTACGTAGGTGATCTCGGTCATTAATATCTCTGATGGTAGTGGTTGTCATAACATGAACCATGTCAGCGGCCGAAAGGCAGTTCATGAGAGAACACTAACACCAGGGTTTGCTTGGTAGGTAAACTAAGCAGCCCACACTATAACAAGTAGGTATTTTGACCTTCTAGTTCAGAAATATTTTAGTACTAGACAGAATAGCTTTTAGGCATATTAGACTAAAATAAAAACGTGGGGCCCCTCTGAAATCATACCTATAGCAGAGCATATCTTAGACTTTGGTAGATCATGAGCTCAGCGTTCGCTGGTGAAGCCGTAACAGCTGGTTATTGATGGTCAAAACCTCCAGTTACGATTATAGTAAGTCGATTCAGCGGACCTTGGACTCCGGAGCTATGAGGTTTCGGATGCGACCGGGATAAACCGCTAGGATGATGATGATGACGATTATAATAAGTCGATGCAATCCACACTTAGTATAGTAGAAAGTAATACAGAAATAGTTAATGGGCCCCACGTTTTTATTTTAGTCTAATATGCCTAAAAGCTATTCTTCCTAGTACTAAAATATTTCTGAACTAGAAGGTCAAAATACCTACTTGTTATAGTGTGGGCTGCTTAGTTTACCTACCAAGCAAACCCTGGTGTTAGTGTTCTCTCATGAACTGCCTTTCGGCCGCTGACATGGTTCATGTTATGACAACCACTACCATCAGAGATATTAATGACCGAGATCACCTACGTAGGTTGATAGGTAAGTAACTATTTATTTATTTTGTAGTTTTCAGTGCACATAAAATAAAACCGTTTAACTTAAAAGTTTTTTTACCGATTTTTATTTTAGTCTAATATGCCTAAAAGCTATTCTGCCTAGTACTAAAATATTTCTAAACTAGAAGGTCAAAATACCTACTTGTTATAGTGTGGGCTGCTTAGTTTACCTACCAAGCAAAGCCTGGTGTTAGTGTTCTCTCATGAACTACCTTTCGGCCGCTGACATGGTTCATGTTATGACAACCACTACCATCAGAGATATTAATGACCGAGATCACCTACGTAGGTTGATAGGTAAGTAACTGTTTATTTATTTTGTAGTTTTCAGTGCACATAAAATAAAACCGTTTAACTTAAAAGTTTTTTTACCGATTTTTATTATTCTTCGTTGGTGGTAATTAATTTATAATACTCGTCCATCAATGTTACGCCCCGCTCCACTTTATCATTCACCACTCTTATGGAATGAATAATTTCTCCAGAAACTTTGTATTTTTCATCTTCTATCCAAAGTTGAGGTTCTTTTTCCAAAAATGCGGACGATATTCCAAAGATTCTGATAAATCTTAGGATGTTGCTAGAGTCCTCAATATTTTTTTCCTTCCTGGTAATATGTTTGGGAATAAAACCTGAACCTTCGTCATTCAGCGTGTGGGCGAAAGGACTGTATGCTGGTATGGAAACACGGTGTTTTAGAAAGATAATATAATAATATAAAAAATATACATATCAAACCAACGGAGTAAAAAAGCGAAGGCAAAACAAAACCGAAACTGACACAGACTTCAAATTATAAAAAGAACATCTTTTTTATAAAATTAAAAATGAAACTAAAAAGGTGCGTCGTGCACATCGTCTAGGACTAAAAAAAAAAAAAAGATTACTTATTTACAAAAATTATTAGTCGAAAACTAAACAAAGTAATTATTCAGTTCTAACTATCGGC